GTTATTGGCTATTGTGGATAATAGACCCCTAATTGACTTGTCTGAGGCACATTCATCCCTTACTAAATACCACAAGGTGCCTCTCTTACCTACTATGGAGTTCTTTGGTTTATGTCAAGTACTTTCCAGGAACTGCGAAGGGTGCAGCAACTGCGACGGAACTTTTTATTGATGAAATGTTATTTTGTCAGCTGTCGGGTGAGTTACCTTATATATAAAATTTTTGAGTTCCTACACTTTCTGTCATTTTGTTCGAAATTTCGTGTGCAGTCCCTGCACAGCTCACCTACCGAATGACAGACATCCTGGGTGCTTAGGCGCCACCAATATGAATACGGAATTGGGGGGGGGGTCTGCTTGAATATCTTTAGTACTCGTATGAAAGTCCATAATCTAAGTTTAACATAAGTGCTGACGACTATTTTGTTCTGTGCACTACTAATAAAGATCGTGTGCTCAGAAGCAGCGCTGGCGATCGTCATTAGCTGGTTGTGGGACTGAGAATCGTTAGATCATTTGGTAAGTGGGATAGTAGTGAAGAAAAAAAACAAACGGTTGAAAACATCTTGAATAAGAACCATGAAATGATGAAGGTGGAGCTAGCTCACGAAGGCGGAGTCAGGTCATTCTCGCCAAGCCGTGACGCTCTTATTGACTTTCTAGTTCTGTAGGTGGAATATGCTCCGCGATTGATTACCGCACCATCCTGTGCGACCAGAGGGTTTCGAAAATGGAAGCGCCACTCATGCAAATTATAAGGGCGGGGACGGTCCGCTGTGTTTTCTTCATTACCCTTTTCTATAGTTTCATAACTAGGGAAAGGGAGGGGGCACACAAACGAGAAAATCGCTGCTGCGGATGGCGGGGCGTGTTAAGGGGCTGAGTTCGGTGCAACGCCAGCCCGTTCTCCAGTTGTGGAAGGTGGCAGGCGACCACATTAGGTGGAAAACCGGCTGGCGCTACACCAAACCCAGCCCTCTGGTACGCCTCAACGTCCGCGGAAAGGCCCACATAAACTTATGTAAACCATTCCATTTTCTGTTAATACCATGTTCCTGAAGACGTTACGATTTTCCTGTTCCGATTTCCGTATCTCTTCCAGAATGCGGCTAAACTACGTATTCTGCAATATTTGAATCGTCATCAACACTACGTAGAAAATTCGGATATGTACTCGCTGGCAGACGTAAGAGCTCATAGCACTTCATGTTTTGCTTTGTTTCCTTGCAATTTGGCTCACTTTCCATTCAATCTTCCTGTTCAGTTGCGAGAACTTTGCCTGGGAAATTTGTTGCGCGACCTCGAAGATATACATACCGTATTTCGAAAGCATATTGAAGAGGTAAGTCACAGTCCTGTTGGGCAGCTTTCATGATATCGGTTTCCTTTACTCGGAAGACGCATTGTTGTTCAGGAGTGTGACAATTCTGCGCAGGAAATTGGGTTTATTGTGAAACTATGTGAAGGATCAACGAACACGAGAGATCAAGGCTTTAGTTGATTAAATGCTTGTCTGAGGGTAGTGGGGCGGGTGCATGCGAGCGTCCAGAGAGAAGAGCGGAGGAGAGTTGGCAGGACAATACGCAGCTTTCGCTGGGATGTGCGCATCGCCATCACATATGCGGACAGTACTCTTCGTTCGTAAGAAGCTCGATTTACTTGTTCTCTCCCAGTGGATAATTTTCAGTTGCGAAAATGATTTGCTACCTAGTAATCCCCCAAGCCGAACTGCGCCTAAGCTGATGCCAGGTATCCGACTGAAGGCAGTGGCGTATTGGTTAAGATTCAGAGCCCCATTTCAAGCGTCATTTACTGGTAGAAAGCGCGTTGAGCGCCATCATCCGCAGCGGCACTTGCGCGTGTACTTCTCGCAACCGTCCTTTCCACCAATGACGCTTGGATTGGGGATACTCCTCTCGAATGACGTGCCCTAGAAAGAATAGCAAGCTAGAAAATGATTGGATATACTGTGTAAAAAGCAGAGTATCGTCTATTGCCAACCAGCTGTTCCAGTCATCATGTCTTCTACTCGAACATATAAGTCGTTTCCTCATTTGTTATTATTCCAGTAACCATGGCTTTCCTCTTCTTTATTGAGGTCTTTCATTGTGAAGTTCCAACTTCTTCATGCTTCCTTTTTCTCAATGTTTCGGAAAAATGTGGCAATGTGTCCGAAATGTCTGGCTGTTTTTCATTCGAAATGTTATGAGAAACGCAGTTCTACGTGCACAAGGTATGGTATCTGGTTTTCCTTATTAATTCCGGCTCCTGATTAATTTGATCTTATTCTTTCCCTTTATTCTAACTTTTTGTTTGATCCTTTACACGCCATGTACGCTATGCATTCACTAGTAGCCATGGCGTTGATATCCTAATGTTTCGGCTAGTTGGCTCGCTTGTGTACGCTTGCGCTGTCCTGGTCCTCGGAGCTCGTTGCCTGCCCTCTCATCTGCGCCCACAGTGTACCATTGCTTCTTGTTTCTTCCTATGCTCGTTCAGTGCGCAAAACCAAATGCAACTATTCACCCCCACTGCTCCATGTTTTTCGCAAGTGTACAGACAAAGCGAATGTTGGCTCGCCGTGCTTCCCAAGCTCGGTGATCACTCGATCACGAAGTGAAGAGGATCTGTGATCAAATGAGGAGAGCGAATCTTCGGAAGAAGAACGGCTACGAAAAATAGTGCTACCTGTAGGACGCCGAGGGTTGCGGGGCGACGGGCAGATGCGGGGAAATGACCAGCTGCACTACAATTATAAGAGATAGAGTAAGCCTCGACTGGTTCGACAATAAAGTTGCCCCCGCAGTAGCCCTCGCGATGAGGCCTTTTCCGCGAATCCGCTCCACCGCGGTACGTCACCTGTGCCAGCATACTCAGCTTTGATTCTGTGACAAGCAGCGCGTGCGTCCAGACGGTTCCATGCAAACACATGTGAGGGAGGTAGCGTGGCGACGAAGGCTAAGGGAGCACCCGGTCATCACGTGGTAATAGGGGCGTCCTTCTTTGCTAAGCATTCGGCCTTAACAGTGGACGGGATTGCTGCCTTGGAAGGGGGTGCATACGAGCAGAAAAGGCGACGTCGTCGTCTGTCCTCCCCTCTCTCTTTTATCCTCAACTCCCTTGGCAGCATACGCAGATGGGCTTTATATTCGCGTGCAGGAGGTCGAGCTTCCTTTAGGGACACATTTTCAGCCAAATTGATTTAAAGGGAGTTTTGGTGTGGACGCGAGGAGAATTTGTGCCAAGCGGCTGGGGTACGCGTATTTTTAAGGGGTTGAACTACCCCTCCCCACAGGAAGCTAGTTTTAAGCCAAGTTGTCCTCGGTGTAAAATCTCGACGAAAGCGTTGCCATCACCGAGGACAGGGCAGTGAAGCGTAAACAGTGCCATAGACCCTTATTTGGAGCGTTTTTCGACGACTTCTTCAGCTTTTTCTTCATGATTCATCAGTTAGCACAGCTCTACGACTTGCAATTACAAAACAAAATGGCTTGAAGTGTTACAGCCTATCTTTTCAGATGCGAGAGGAGGAGGAGACGTGCTGATTCTCTAAGGGAGGAGTAGCTGAGGACTGAATCCTGCTTCTTCCTCTTTTTTTTTCGAGCGTCCGCATTCGTTGGGTTTTGTCCTAGTTCGACTGTCACTTAACATTTTCACTCGCTTTCGTGGCCTTATTACCATTTACTGTCGTTTTTTCTCGTTACAGATTAAGCTTATATTACTGTACTTATTTATGGTCATCTCGGGTTATTTACTCTTTCTTTGAAATTTTAGTCGGTCCTATATCTATTTCTCTCTTTGACAGATACTCTAAGAATGATTTAATATTTGTTATTAAAGAAATCGTCGAGACATCTGTGAGAATATGCGCTTGTAGATACTATTGGTGTACATTTCTCATAAATTTTGTACCTACGTCTGAAGTGTGTAAGTAGATGTAGTACACCAAATCACGTTAGTACTGCCGTCTTTTCAGTTTTTGGTCGCCATATTGTCCCTCAGACCGCCCGCATACTTTGCAACTGAGGAGATTTGACGATTTGGGAGGCTTGGCGATGAGATTGCGCGATGAGGAATGGATAGGTATCGATCTGGCGACTGCGCAGATTGAGCGATCCGGCGATTTGGAAGACTCGGCGTTTCCGGCGATTGCGCGGCGAATAGTGGACGGGTATCGATCAGCGCCGGTACCTGGATATTGTGGAGATTCGAGGTGTGGCGACGATCTTCCACAACGCCGAATCTCTCAAATCTCTGGATCGCTCTTGCGAACTCGACGGGTCGCCGGATCTCTCCAATCGCTACCGCCATCTGATCGATACCTGTCCACTCCTTGAGGACGCAATGTCCGGAAAAGCCAAGTCTACCAGATGGCCGGATCGCCAAATATGCTTACTAGGGAAGGTCGTCAGGTCGAAGTGGCCATTTGTGATGAGATGTAGATCACTAGACGTGGTTTTGGACGCTGATCTTGAATCTGCCTTCAAAATTTGCAAAGCGATTCTCTGAACGGAGTTATGGAGCCGCGTTTACCACGCAACAGGTCATGGGATCGGATCCCTGCTGAGCTTAACTTTTTTGCTTGTTGCGCAAACGTGGCAAAAAGTGATTTTGCCGTCACTACTACTTCAGTTCTCACCTGAGCTTGTCTGAAGAAAAGTTTGCCTCCTATTACTGCGCTTGGACTCCTTGTAGACTACAGTGCACTACAGTGCTTCTACAAGGAGTCCAAGCGCAGTAATAAATGGAGGCAAACTTTTCTTCAGACAAGCTCAGGTGAGAACTGAAGTAGTAGTGACGGCAAAATCACTTTTTGCCACGTTTGCGCAACAAGCAAAAAAGTTAAGCTCAGCAGGGATCCGATCCCATGACCTGTTGCGTGGTAAACGCGGCTCCATAACTCCGTTCAGAGAATCGCTTTGCAAATTTTGAAAGGCAGATTCAAGATCAGCGTCCAAAACCACGTCTAGTGATCTACATCTCATCACAAATGGCCACTTCGACCTGACGACCTTCCCTAGTTAGTCACAGTCGATACCTATATTTTCCTCGTCGCGTAATCTCTCAAATCGCCGAATTTCCTCAGTAGCATATGAACGCGGCTTAAGAAACGCGAGGCGAAGAACAAGAACCTTTACTGGCAAGAGGTTGCGCTCCGTGCTCAGAGTGTGGTCGTATCGATTACTGCTGTTCACAGGTCTAATTTTTTCTACCGAACTGCACCCACGTTCAAAGTTCGCGACACCAAGATTCAAATAATCGCGTGGTCCAAGCGACAGTGCGATGAGCGGTAGACCGCCGGTATTCAATTTCGGAACTGGTCTCCATGTTAAGCGAACAAAAACAGTCTTTGAGGCTGTCTTCATAATTTGCGATTCGGTGTTCAGGGCGATCATCGTTTTGAGCGAATCGGCTCTGACAGCGAACCGGAGTTTTGGGCATCGCTTCATACACGATTCTTTCACTCAAAACACTGATTTTCCCAAATACCAGGTCGCAAAGTGTGAACGCAGCCCAACACGCTTTGCCGCTAATCGCAGAACCGCTTGAGAATCCTCGCACACGAGTCGTCATTGTCGCGAACTATGAACGCTGCTTATCTTGCATGAGGTTAGTTGAAGCAATGGTGGGTTAGAACGCGGTTGAGTCACGTTCATACTTTTGCGAGAATGTAGAGCATGCGTTTGGTAGACATGGCGACAAATGATTGGATGAGAGTCGATTGATGCTAGTGAATCGACAACTCACCAGAATCTCGCGTTCTCCCGAATCTCATAGTGTCTCGAACGCGCGGAGTAGTGCCCCCCTCCTACCGTCGGCAAACTGCGCCTAGCGAAGGATCTTCGGACAATCTTTGTAACTTAGCCTCAGCCGGCCTTCACGGCATAGAGAGAATTTTTTGCCCATGAAGATCTTTGTTCGGAAGATCTTTACCCCCTTGAAGACGGGCTGCACTGCACACTGTACCACTTTCGCCACTTGCAGCTGCATGGTGAAGCTTTGGTGTTGTGATAGCCAAATACTACTCTATGTCTCCCTGCTACACATGATGTGTAAACCGCGTGTTGCGGGCATGTTGCTACATGTTCGTTGCGTTATTTGGGTAACCAAGGCTCTGTTGGTAACATCTCCACTAGATACGACATGTGCTGAAGTGATACTGCAGATAACAATGACGTCACTGACAAATTTGTCTGGGTACAGACAAGCAGCTCGTCTCGGTATGGTTAGGCGCATTGTTGGTCGTGTGGCGTGTTGCGGTATTTGGTATATATTACTAGCATACCAGACAAGACATAAATCGCATCCAACCGTCAGAACTCTCCATAACCTTTATTGCTTTGGACCTGCCCTCTTGCCCAAGGAAAATATCAACTTCGTCATGTAAACGTAGTATGCCTTTATGATCCAGAACTCCGCCATGGAATCTGATGACAGATCTTATTGACTGAAGATATTACTTTTTGTTTGTTTTGTTAGTCATGAATGACTTCAAAGCGCCTGCAGATGGCAATAACAGGCTCGATACCCTTTAACTGACCTGCTGAAGCAATAGGCGAGCGCAGGGGTGAGGCATATTACACTCTCCCTGTCCATAAACGTATCCAACCACAAAGTGGAGACCTGTGAAATCTTGTGAAGCCACGAAGTGGAACTAGCCAAAGTTTGTATACACAACTGTCAAGTCTTGTAAAGCCATGACACGACGGTAAGAAGTAGCGAAAGTGCAGAATGTCTCACCCCCCCCCCCCAAGTCAAAGTTCAACGTGCGCTGATCTTCTTCACACGTTTCATTCAGATGTCCAGGCCTACCTTGTCAGTGTTTGAAGTGCTCGAAATTGGCTACTTCATTTCCTTCACAACTGTGGTCATGAATGTGAGTTGAGAAAATCTTTTGAAGTTTTTTGTGATTTTTTTTCTCTGGAAGAGTTGCAAAATTTCCTCTATATCTAAGACGATTTCTCAGCTATTTTCGTGGTCAATTCGTTCGCAAATTTTCGTTCAATACCTTTTGGGCGCTGTTTGGCTTGGAGGGGGCTTTGCACATTCGGTAGTTCCTTCTCTCATCTTATCTCACTTTGATGAGATCTGCATAGTCTTGTGAAGCTGCGAAAGAAGCGAATGATCCACTTTAGTCACAGGAATTACAGGTCTTCACAAGATGGCAGATACAGGTCTCGCGGAGTACCATTCGGTGCCCCCACCAGGCCGAACTGTGCCCATTTTTGCAATTGTTTCATCTGCTTTGCTTCATTATTAAAAGCGCCTCTTTCTGTTCACTGAATTAGTCAACATTTCTTCGATTAAGTAGAGTAAGTAAACATTAACAGCGTGAGATTGCCCCGTTTGTAATTGAGCGACTCGGGGTGATGTAGAGCCCAGCTGGTGGTTTCTCTCAGTTCTCCTTGTTCTAAATAATCTCTGGTCGGTGTCTGTGGCGTCACCGTTCGGCTACAGGTCATCATCCTCTCATCTGCACAGTTCCTTTGGTTAGTTAGGTCTCTCTGAGAATCTGTTTGTATTGATTCCGTGAGAAAATTTGTAGTGTAATATGTTCTGTTGAATTTCACTTTCGCTTTCGTTGCCATTTATTGTTTCTCTTTTTTTGTTTTTATCGAGCAAGTGATCATTTCGATGCCTATCTAATTTTCTGGAACAGTTCTTTTACACTGCATATTTCTGGAAACAAAAAAAAGAAAACCAACAGCGCAGTTTGGCTTGGGAGGGGCATTTTGCACTTTCGCCGCTTCCCATTGTCGTATGGAGTTACCAAGTTGAAATTTGTGGAATCTCGTGAAGCCTTGAAGTGATACCATTCGAAGTTTGTAAAAAGTTCAACTCTTGCAAAGAATACCTGTCAACTCTTGTGAAACAATGAATATGAATACGAAGACTGGAAATAGCGAAAGTGCAAAAAGCTGCCCCCCCCCCAAGGCCAACGAAACTCTTTTATAGTGCATATTCATCATTTCATTTTTCATTTTTCCACCTGCCCATATACATATTTATGAACCCGTTTTGCTATCTTTCACTGGTTTTTCAACTAATTTTATTGTAGTCGCTATTCGGTACCTGTAAGTCTTGCAATATCGGTTAGATTCACCAAGAGCTTTGGGTTTGCATTGGTGGCAACGATAAGGGAAATCAAAAATAATAGTGGTCTCGGCGCAAGTCGGCTCGGTGGGGGCATTTTGTTGGTTCTCATCGGTCATTACAAATACCTTTTGTGGATATCTGTGAAGCTGTGAAGCAATAGCGAACCTAGTTTAACCTTGACAAAGGTCTACAGGTTTTGTCTAGGTGAGGCATGTGATTCAAGGGGAAAGGCGAAATACACACTTCCCCCCTCTAGGCCGTATAACGCCGGAATCTCAACAGCTCCTTAGAAGAATGGTATCAGGACATCTGTGAACCGCAGAACCTCACTCTCTTCTTTCTCATTTCTTTCCTCTTTCTTCTTGTCCTTTTCCTTCTCCTCTTCTCTCTGCAAAGACTCATCTGAACAAGGCGACGAGAGAATATCTCTGAACCGTTGCAGCGGGAGAAATTTCGTGATTAGCGAG